GCCCGGAAAATGTAGCGCACTGCGACAAATTTATATCGCTCGGCAGACCGGCACGGAAACTCCCAACCTCCGGAGTCATCCGATGTCAATGATTCTCGAAAATATAATCGCAACATTCGCCGACAAAATCGGTAACAGCATTTTGATCGATATTTTATTTGTTACACTGCTCATTGGAAGAAACATTCCTCGCACGTTCCAACGTGACAGAATCAACGAAAAGATCCGAGTTCGCGGAAGTGAATTAACAAACCTCGGTCGCCTCTCGCCGTCTAATTTCGAATTCGATAAGGCCCCGGTATTCTAATGCGAGTCGTGTGTAAAATTAAGGACGAACATAAAACACGTTCGGCCGTTTCCTTCCACCTTGTATATCGTTCCCAACAGAAATTCTACATACATGTGATCGAACGAACGGATCGTCCTTTAAACGAAATTATTTATTCGTTCCGTCGGCAAGGCGTTTATTTATTTATACTTTATTTATTATATTTATATATTTATTATATTATATATATATTATATTTATTATACTATATTTATTATATTTATATATTTATTATATTATATATATATTATATTTATTATACTATATTTATTATATTATATATATATTATATTTATTATACTATATTTATTATATTTATATATTTATTATATTATATATATATTATATTTATTATACTATATTTATTATATTTATATATTTATTATATTATATATATATTATATTTATTATACTATATTTATTATATTATATATATATTATATTTATTATACTATATTTATTATATTTATATATTTATTATATTATATATATATTATATTTATTATATTATATATATATATATATATTATATTTATTATACTATATTTATTATATTATATTTATTATATTGATATATATATTTATACTTTATTTATTTATACAAATTAGTTTATTCGCAGTGCGGCACACGAGTCGAGGCGAACCATTTGTTCGGCGGCGACGTTAACGATTTTGATGGATCACTTTTTGTCAGGGTTAGTAAAGAGACCTCGATGGATCCGTATGGTCGTCTCGCGATTGTCCATTCTTCCCGCGTGTTTGTCCGGTGTACGGCCCTGAGAGCGTTTCTCCTCGTAAGTACACGTGTACGCACGCGAGACGCGCGTATAAATACACACGCGTCGTCGGTTTATTTATACGCAAGGGTGTCTGTTTCGTGTGTGCGCGCGTGCGCTCGCGCGCATTCCCTCTCCCCGTCGCTTTACGCCGAATACACACACGCGCGCGCGAAACAGAAAACTACCCGTGCGACGACAAGACGGTTTGTTTCTTCTAGCAAAGTAATATTCATTGTCATGGCGACGAAGATTTTAGCGAGCGACGGTCACGTTTTCTGTTCGCGATCGACACGCTTGATAATCGCGTGCGAGCAGCGAAACTTTTCGTACGAGTTCCCAGGTTCAAGATTGCGGCTTTCACGCTGTGATCTCGAAAAATTCCCACCGATCGCGAGATATATCTATTCCCACATGCAACATTCGAAGCCTACGCTCTGACATTGGTATCTTTATTTGTCCTCTTTATTAACGCCGAACCTACCGAGCAGTAATAACACTAACTGGCACGTACTGCTTCACGAAAGTGAGAAGTCCGAATTTATTTGGAATTTGTAAAGTCCTTATTATTGGGTTGGCAACTAAGTAATTGCCGATTTCGGTTATAGATGTCTCTCACTCCCATTTTTATGATATCCGTAAATGTTATATTATAAAATTATTATTATTATTATTATGTTATTTTTTATTATCCGTGAATGTTAGCAACTGGACAGATTGAATGCAGCGGTCAAGGAAAAGCGACCAGAATTGGTCGATCGTAAAGGTGTCATTTTCCAGCAGGACAATGCTAGGCCGCACACGTCTTTGTCCACTCGGCAAAAGTTGATGGATATTGGTTGGGAATTGATGTTACACCCACCGTATAGCCCTGATCTCGCGCCATCGGATTACCACTTATTTCGATCCCTGGACGACTCCCTTCGTGGTAAAACTTTTAACGA